CACTTCTTTTTTTTCCTCTCCTCTATGCACGCACTTCCTTTTCATCTCTTTGGCTTCCCTCACACACTTTTCTCTCCGTCTCCTACCTCCCTTGTTTCCATTCTTCTTCATCGTCTCCGTCGCCGGTAATCAGGTCCCCATCCTTCGTCACTGTTCTATCATTATCAAAGGAGTACCAGGTACTTCGTCTCCTCTGTCTTCTCCTCCTTTTTCTCCCCTTTTCTAGTCTTTTCATCTTCTTAATGGCTGGAGAGAGTAGTGTCGCACCTTCAGCGTCGGCCAAGGGCAAGGGCAAGGCGCGCGGCAAGGCGGTGGCCGAAAAGACGGTCGCCGCTGAAAAGAAGAGGGGTGGGAATAACCCTAAAGATTCTCACCCCGCCATTACCGCTTCTGGCTATGAATGGGTCAGGGGGACGTCGAAGAATTCCACAACATCTTTAAATCATTTATTGAGGTCAATGCGATGTGGAAATCGCATAGAATCTGCCAAGCGGGCATTTCCAAGCTCATCCGGGTTGAGCCTTGCCAACCCGGTGAGCGTGTGTATATGGGGGGTACTTCCACTATCTCCTTTTTTTACGTGTACCAGTGTTTCTTCAAGGACCTGGGCGTATGTCTTCCCTTCACACAGTTTAAGTGTGATTTTTTGAATTTCATCAATGCGGCTCCATGCCAGCTCCACCCCAATAGTTGGGGTTTTTTGAGGGCTTTTTAAGTCCTGTGCTCGGCCTTGGGGATAGGGTTGTCACTGCCCATTTTTCTCCATTTTTACTAGCTCAAGCTGGGTGAGCCTCCCTTGGGCTGGGTGTCTCTGAATGAGAGTAAGGCTGGGGGGTTGTTTTCACTTTACTCCTAGTCGTACAAGAGCTTCAAGAAGGAGTTCTTCCGAGTTCGGCCTGCTGAGGCCGACTCACTAAAAGATGAAGTCTTCCACTTCGGCGGGTTGCCGAGGTTCCCTCTGTTCTGGCAGCAGAATCCGATCAAGTTCAACGGGTCAAGCAGTCTTCAGCTGACGGCTTCGAATACTGCTGCCATTGCCGACCTAGCTGTGCTCCCTCGCCCCTTGGATTGCAAGCTCGTCTTGTCGCTTGCTAACTTGGCAGACAAGGAGAGGGGTTTAGAGAGTGAGTATTCCGTCCCCTTAGTTGTTAGATTCTCTATCTTTTCTTTCTGCTTATGTGTTTGGATTTTGTGCTTGTAGGTATAATGGGGAGAAGCAAGTGGCGCGAGCTGAAAGCCCACAGAAGGCCGGGGAGACCTCGGCCCCACGTGATGCTGAGGAGGTGACCTTAAAGGCCGCCGATATTGACCCGGTCGACCTGACTGGGAGTCCTCAGCCTGATGGATCAGCTAGAGTGGCCCTGGAGGAGGTCGCTCGTGAGGTGCAGGTTTGTGTCTTTTTTCTTATTATTTTTATTCCCTGTTGCGTGACTTTCTTGCTTTATAACTTAAAGGATTTTTTGTGTTGTGTGTAGGCGGGGCCTGTGCCAGCTACCGCCAAGGCGCGGGTGGAGCCGAGCTTAGAGGCACAAGGGCTGAATGCCTCAACTGCTGAGTAGGCAGCTCTCTCTTCAAATCCCACCGAGGTCCGCGGGGAGGGACTGAGCTCTGCAGCCCAGACTCCGACTCCTGCAGCCGTTGTGCCGCCTCCTCCCTTGTCGAGGGCTCCAAAGGGGAAATTCATCGCACAACGCTTCGATGTGAACTGCCCCCTGTTGATGTTGGATCACGTGAGCGTGTCATCGGATGTGGATTCCATATGGAGTTCGAAGGGGACCGCCGAGACCTTCTACCCTCGAGGTTCACTCCGCTCGGCTGACAAGGCAATTAGCGAGAAGGTCGGGGCAGTGGAGGGCCTAGACTCTGTGGAGGTCTTCATGCAGAGGTCGATCACCATTGTGGATGATTGGAAATGCAAGTGGTCGAAGCTACAGGGGGAGCTCGAGAGTGCTAGAAGCCGAGTTCAGCCCCTAGAGGAGGAGAACCAGGCTCTAGGGGCCGCCCTAGGCGAAGCCGTGAAGAAGAACGAGGTTGAGCTTCAAGCTGCAAGGAGGGATCTCGCAAGGACTCAAAAGTCTTTGGAGATTGCTTTGAGGGCTAACGAGGTCTGCGCTACCCAGGTTGGCAAGCTTCAAGAGGTCACTAATTCTTCTCGGGGTCGAGTGCGCTCTCTTGAAGACGAGGTCTCGAGGTTGAGAGATGATCTGGCGGAGGCGGCTGAGAGACGTCTCTGGGACAAGGTACTTTTAGCTGGTAAGGAAGAGGAGGCCAGTGCCTTGAAGGCTGACCTTGATCAGTTGGTCGCGGCGAAGGCAGCCCTAGACAGGAAGCTCCTTGAGATTGAGCGAGCTGTTTTGGTGGAGCACAAGAATGGCTTTGTCAAGGCAGCTCGTCAGGCGAGGTTGCTTGCACCCGAGGTCGACCTTTTTGCTATGCATGTAGAGAAAGAGGTGCGAGCTGGGCGGCTAGTAAAGGAAGATGACCTCCCTGATAGCTCGAGCGAGAATACCATTGCTTAGGCCGCTGTTTTGTAATAACTTAGTTTATTTTTCTCGCTTTCTGAACTCGTATTCCATTTTGATGAACTTGTTTATGTATATAATTTTCTTTTTTCATTTGCGGTTTTTGTCTTGCTCTTTTGATGATCCTCGTTTTGGTAAGGTTCGAATTTGACCTTGGTTTAGGATAAAGTAGTTCGCACCAAGGTTCGAATTCGACCTTGGCTTAACATAAAGTAATTCGCATCAAGGTTCGAATTCGACCTTGACTTAACATAAAGCAATTCGCACCTAGGTTCGAATTTGACCTTGGCTTAACATAAAGTAATTCGCACCGAGGTTCGAATTCGACCTTGGTTTTAGGATAAAGTAATTCGTACCAAGGTTCGAATTCGACTTTGGCTTAACATAAAGTACCAAGGTCGAATTCAACTTTGGCTTAACATAAAGTAATTCGCATCAAGGTTCAAATTCGACCTTGACTTAACATAAAGCAATTCGCACCAAGGTTCGAATTCGACCTTGACTTAGGATAAAGTAATTCGTACCAAGGTTCGAATTCGACCTTGGCTTAACATAAAGTAATTCGCATCAAGGTTCAAATTCGACCTTGACTTAACATAAAGCAATTCGCACCAAGGTTTGAATTCGACCTTGGCTTAAGATAAAGTAATTCGTACCAAGGTTCGAATTCAAGCTTGGCTTAACATAAAGTAATTCGCATCAAGGTTCGAATTCGACATTGACATAACATAAAGCAATTCGCACCAAGGTTCGAATTTGACCTTGGCTTAACATAAAGTAATTTGCACCGAAGTTTGAATTCGACCTTGGTTTAACATGAAGCGATTATTGTCAATACGGTGTAAATTTAAGAGGAAATGAGTGGAATGATTCACTTTTATTGATGTTGTGGGTATGCCTCGTTAAAAACCCTCTCAGCCAAAATCCATTTTTCTGTTTTTTGGGACAAAAGACTGAGTCGGGAAAAGAGTGCATAACCCATTTGTACATTTCAACTGAAGTAAAACTTGAGATGCGTGGCATTCCAAGTTCGTGGGATGGTTTTTCCGTTGAGCTCTTCTAGTTGGTATGCCCCGTTTTCGAGGTCTTCTGTAACTCAAAACGGGTCATCCCAGTTAGGCGCAAGTTTCCCTTCTGACGAGTCTCTTCGTGCTTCGCCTAGTAGTCGCCACACCAAGTCGTCGACCCGGAAAGAGCGAGGTCGGACTCGCGTGTTGTATCTTCTGGAAGCTCGGAGTTTGCAGACTTCTTCGTGGATCCGGGCTTCCTCTCTGAGCTCGTCGATGAGGTCGAGGTTGATTGTCTTTTCTTGAGCATTTTTCTCACTTTTGAAGGTGTGACGTCGGTGGGATGTTTCGCCGACCTCCACTGGAATCATGGCATCGACTCCGTAGGTCATCCTATAAGGTGTTTCCTGCGTTGTTAATTGGGGAGTACAGTGGTACACCTAGAGAATGCTGGGGAGCTCGTCGGCCCATTGTCCTTTGGCGCTTCCTAGCCGCTTCTTGAGCTCTCGGAGTATTACTTTATTTGCGGCTTCGGCTTGGCCATTGGTTTGGGGATGCTCCACCGAGGTCGAGAGGTGCTTGATCCCGAGTTCACGGAGGAAGTCCTCAAAGCTGTGTGCGATGAACTGCCTGTCATTATCGGTGACGAGAGAATGTGGGATGCCAAACCTGCAAATGATGCTCTTCCAGGTGAATTTCTGTACATTCTCAGTGGTGATCTTGGCGAGTCGGCATGCTTCGATCCACTTAGTGAAGTAGTCGATTGCCACTATGAGGAATTTGAGTTGACCTTTCACGGGGGGAATTGGTCCGAGGATATCCATTCCCCACTGGGAAAAAGGCCACGATGACATCATCTGGTGGAGAACTTCAGGCGGTTTCCGATGTGCATTGCCGAACTGCTAACATTCCTTGCACATTTGTACATAGGCTTGGCAATCTGACTTCAATGTGGGCCAGTAGTACCCAACTCAGAGTACCCTGGTCGCCATCGAGCGTGCTCTAGAATGCATACTGCATATCCCTTGGTAGATCTCCTCAATGACATAGGGGCTTGGGACCCTGCTAAGCATTTTAGCAGAGGAGTGGAGATGCTGCGTTTGAATAGTTCGTCTCTAATGATGACGAACTTAGCTGATCTTACCCTCATCTTTCGAGCTTCATCTTTGTCTTCGGGTAGAGTTCCCAACTTAAGGTAGTTCCAAATGCCCGTCATCCATTCTTGGTCTTCACCGTCACTAGTGTTGACGACTTTCTCGTCTAGACTGGGTGAGTTCAGAGTCTCCTAGATGATGGTCTGATGCTGTCCAGGGCATTTCGTACTGGCGAGTTTGGACAGGAGGTCGGCTCTGGCATTCTGGTCTCAGGGCACATGGTGTATGGTGAATTCATCGAAGGATGAGATTCGTTGGGATGTTATATGGAAGTACCTCTGTAGTAGGGTATCCTTGGTCTGGTACGTCCCACTAAGTTATTCTACCATGAGTTTTGAGTCGTTGTTGTAGCTTACTCGTTGTGCTCCGAGGTCACGCGCCAATCTTAACCCCGCAAGCAGCGCCTCGTACTCGGCTTGGTTGTTGGTGACTTTGAAGTCGAACTTGAGAGATTGCTCTATGGTGACTTTATTTGGTCCCTCCAAAATGATACATGCACCACCACCTTTAGAATTGAAGGCTCCATCAACGTGTAAAGTCCATACCTGTTGTTCTTCAGCCGAGGTTGGCGTGAGCTCAGCCACAAAATCTGCTAGGCATTGAGCTTTCATGGGGCCTCGGCTTTCATATTGGATGCCAAACTCGAATAGCTCCACTAACCATGCTATCATACGCCCGGCGAGCTCTGGCTTTCTCAAGATCTGCTTAATTGGGTAGTCAGTTTTAACGACCACCTGGTGACTTTAGAAATAAGGTCGGAGGCGCCGAGCTGCGGTGACGAGTGCTAGTGCAAGCTTCTCGATCGTCTAATATCGTTTTTTTATGTCTTGAAGGACTCGGCTGATGAAGTAAATGGGCATTTGTACCTTTTGGCGTTCTTGTACTATGATTGTGCTGATCGTGCCCTCTTCCACGGCCAGGTAAAGGAGTAGGTCGGCCTGATGATCCGGCCTCTGAAGGATTGGTGGAGTTGAGAGGAAAACTTTGAAGCTTTTGAAGGCTTCTTCGCATTGCTCGGTCCACTCAAAGTTCTTGGGTTTCCGCAGCAAGGTGAAGATGTGTCCTGTTTTCTCTGCCAACCTGGGGATGAAACGGGAGAGAGAGACTAACCGTCCTGCCAAGCGTTGGACGTCCTTGACAGTCTGGGGGCTATGCATCTGGATAATAGCTTTGCACTTCTCCGAGTTGGCCTCAATACCCCTGCTGGTGATCATAAAACCCAGAAATCGACCTCCTTGAACACCGAAAACACACTTCTTTGGGTTGAGGCGCATGTTGTGCTTTCTGATTTGGCTGAACACTTCGACCAAGTCGGCGGCATGATCTTCGGCTGAGGTGGTCTTGACGACCATGTCGTCGACATAGACTTCCATGTTCTGACCAATCTGTTGGTGAAAAACTTTGTCCATCAGCCTTTGATAAGTAGCTCCCACGTTCTTGAGGCTGAAAGGCATCACGCGATAGCAGAAATTTGCATGGTCGGTGATGAAGGCTGTGTGCTCCTCATCTGATGGGTACATCATGATCTGATTGTATCCCGAGTATGCGTCGAGGAAGCTGAGGAGAGCGTGGCCAGAAGCGCTGTCAACCAACCTGTCGATGCTCGATAAGGGGTATGACTCTTTGGGACACGCCTTGTTGAGGTCGGTGTAGTCGACGCATATGCGCCACTTCCTGGAGCTCTTCTTGACCAGTACCACGTTTGCCAGCCACGTGGTGTATCTGACTTCATGGATGAAGCCCGCGTTCATCAACTTTCTTGTCTTAGCGACGATGGTGTCGCATCGTTCTCCGCCGACCTTCCTCTTTCTTTGAGTGATCGGCTTAGCTTCCTTGTGGATGGCTAACCTGTGGCAAATGAGGTTAGGATCAATACCTGGCATATCTGCACTGGACCATGTGAAGATGTCACCATTTTTAGAGATTTCTTCAATGAGTCGTTGTCGCAGCTCTAGGTCTAACTGCCAACTTATCTTCGTACACTATCTGGGGAGTTTACCGACTTGAAGGTCGTCAAGCTCGTCGATGGGGCTTGGCCGTTCGTCATGGGATTCCGACCTTGGGTCCAGGTCAGTGATGTCAACTTGGGCTATGTGAGCTATTGTAGGGGGGTCACTTTTGTGGCGCTCCTTGGATGGCGAGACCTTCAAGCTTTCAGCATAGCATTGTCGAGCTATCTTCTAGTTTGCTCTAACGGAGATGATCCTGCCATTGCTCCCTGGGAATTTCATCGACAGGTGCGGGGTAGATACCACAGCTCCGAGTTGGTTCAACGTCGGCCTTCCGATGATTATATTATAGGATGTCTTGGCTTCAACAAGGAGATATCGAACCATGATTCTCCTTGAGTCAGGAGGGGTCCCAAAGGTTGTCAACAGATCCACGTACCCTCGAGTGTGAACTCGCTCTCCTGAAAAACCGACTAGAGGTTCTGTGTGAGGTTGGATAAGGGAGTAAGGAATGTCTAACCTTAGGAACGTCGGCCAGTATAGGACATCAGCCGAGCTTCCCTGGTCAATCAGCGTCTTATGGACTTCCCAATTGGCGACTTTCACTGCGATGACCATAGGATCATCCTGGTTTGGACAGATGCCAGTGTAGTCGTCGTCTGTGAAGGTGATGGGTGGTGTGTTATGGTGCGGGGCCGAGGTGGTAGTATGGACATTGTTGATGCTCTGCAAGTGCCTTTTGTGTGCCGAGCTACTGGAACCTCCCCCTGTGAAGCCACCTGCAATTGTATTGATAACTCCTCGGAATAGAGCTGACCCTGTATCCTGACTTACCTTGGCCTGCACTACTCCGCCCGTGTGATGGAACTACTTGGAGAAGATTGATGATTCTTCAAGTTTTCCATGCAAGGACCGAAGAACTCTTGAGGTTGAACTCCTTGAGGTGGCGGAAACACCTTGGAGGATTCTCCAATGGTGGAGAAGCAATGGAATTGGTTCGGTTACTTCCTAGCTTGTGAAGGAAGCTTGAGGAACCAAGGCAAAGGTTGAAAACCTTTGGTGAGAACCTTAGAGAGAAAGTTCTCTTCGGTTTTAGGAGAGACTTTTGGGAGAGAAATCTGAAGTTTTATTTCTCAAATGTTCAAAAGTGATTACAAGAGAGGGATTTACAAATACATAGGGAGAGGTAGCTTCTAGGAGAAGCTAACCTTAACCATGGTTCACCAGGAACCATGGTAAGGTGTAGCTAACCATCCATGGTTTCTAAAACTTGTAGGAGAAGCTAACCTTGACCATGGTTCACTTAAGAACCATGGTAAGGTCAGCCAAACCTACTAAGGTTTAGAAGCTTGGAAGGCAAGCTTCAAAACTTGTAGGAGAAGCTAGAAATTTCAGCCAAGAACAAAAGGAATGAGCTAGGCGGCCAAGGCTCAAAAATGCTCCATGATTTATTTCAAAAATATTTGATTTGGTTTAGTTAGGTTCATCATATGATGATGAGACCTAGCTAAATCAAATCTATAAAAAATTAGGAGCAAAATGAGTCTAATATGCAAAATTTTGCCTAGGCCTAGTTCTAGCCCAATTACTAGTTACACCCTCAAGCATTGCTAAATGCCACCCCTTTTTCCCTACTGAAAAAATATAAAATGAATGTATCTAAAAAGGAGGTTAAATGGAGTTAAACTCTCCAAGTAACCCACCCTAAAAACAATATACAATCACTAATAAAAGCAAGTAAAGTGCCTCACAAATACAAAGGCAAAAATAACCCTATACAAATAAACTACTATATTTACAAACATATGAAAAGGTCTTTAAGATCATCCCATTCCTCTTGGTTCTTTTAAGATATCACCTCTTGGATTCCTTGGCCTTGGCCATAGTCTATCACCGTGTTTTGCTGGGAGCTAGAGGGTTGGTCAATTCGAGTCCTAGAACCTCGGTCGTGTAACGTAGTAAATTCTTTTAGAAGGCTCAGTATGGGTGATTCAGTAGACCAGAACGGGCCGTTCCCAAACTGGAACGAGCTGTTCCAAACTACTGAATTGTCCTATAAAACATAGTTGAGAACAGGTTGTTCTGGAGGGAGAACGGGTCGTTCCAAACACCAGAATGGGCCATTCTGGAGGGAGTACGGGCCATTCTGGATGGAGAACGGGTCGTTCTGGATGAGTCCCAGAACGGGCTGTTCTGCATGTAAATTTTGTACTTGGTGAAGGAGTGCAGAACGGGCCGTTCCATATTCGGAATAGGCCGTTCTGGCCACTCCTAAATGTCTATAAATAGAGTTGAGTGGTTGAAGAGAAATGGAGGTTTTTATAGAGAAGTTTTATAGAGAGGAACTCTGGACTAAGAAGCTTGCCTTGGGTGGATTGAGGTTCCGGGTTGAGCTTCGGAAAGGGAATTCTTCTTGGCTATTCTGAGCCAATCTTCAGGTAAGGGAAGCTAGATTGTAAAGTTGTTGGTTGTACGTGAGTTAGGAACTCTTTTGGGTACTTAGGTTGATTAGTATGAGTTGTGTTATGTGATGAAAATATTGTTGGTTGTTAATATTTGATTAAGTATTTATTAATGATGTTGTTGGAAATGCATTTGTAGTTAAGTTGTGAAGTTGTTTCCAAGTTGTGTTGATTTATGATATTGTTGAAGTTGTTTAAAGTTGTTAAGTTGCATTAAGTTGATATTTTAATGACTATAGTTGTTTAATTAAGTTGTTTGCATGTTGTTAAAATTATTAAAGTTGTATAGTTGTATAATTACATAGAGATGCATGTTGAGTATAGAGTTGAAAAGTTGCTATGTTGTTTAAAGTTGTTAAAAGTTGAGATTGATGACTATAGTTGTCTATTGCTATAAAGTTGTTAAGTTGTCTATTGCTATAAAGTTGTTAAGTTGCTTATTGTTGTAAATTTGTTAAGTCGCCTATTGTTGTAAAGTTGTTGTGATGCCTATTGCTGTAAAGCTGTGTTGTTGAGTTGTAAGCTGATTAAGCTGTGATGATAAGTTGTTGATCACTAAGACTAGGGGAGATGTTTTCAAAGTTGCTCATCCCATTGTGTGGATTGAGATAGTTGTGGTGCTCTGAGAGCCCAATTTATTATAAAAACCCTCATTGGGAAGTTGTCCCTTGGAGCGGTCATTGTGTTGTTCTCCTCTAGGACTTAGTTGATCCCGTGTGTGGGCAAGGTCGAGGCACACGTGTACAAAGCGACCACGGTATAGGGGCAAGGTCGAGCTATACCGATTATAAAGCGACCACGGTATAGGGGCAAGGTCGAGCTATACCGCTTATAAAGCGACCACGGTATAGGGGCAAGGTCGAGCTATACCGATTACAAAGCGACCACGGTATAGGGGTCAGGTCGACCTATATCGATTACAAGTGACCAATTTGAGTAAAGTACGAAGTCGGGAACTTAGTTCCTAACCGAGTACTATACTTCCTTGTTTAAGTGGCAAAGTCTGAGAAACCATTATCGTGTTGTGGATTGATATCCAAATGTGTTGTGTTGTCGGTTTGGTAGGACCTAGCCACTTAGACTACTTACTATGTTGTAGGAGATCTCCGAGTCGAAATGCGTGACGACGCATAAGTTGTTGATGAGTTGATTTGTTGATGATATGAGTTGTATAATTGTTGTTGTGTTGTTAAGCTATGATTGTGTTGTGTGTTGACCTTGTTAAGGATGACGATAGTGTGGTTATGTTGTAATTTGAAATGAATGTTAAGATGTGTAGTATATATATATGTTGTTTGCGTCAAGTGTCGAATGCGAAGATGATTATATAGTATATATGTTGCATATTAAATTATTATGAGTTGTTTATTATCTCTAGCTTACCCTTGCATGTCTCCATGTGGTTTGGACTGCGATGATCATACGTGGTATGGGAGCAGGGTAGGGATAGGTTGGGAGGTAGCTGCTAGAGGCCACAGGAGGTTCCTGAAGATGGATATTTTTTTGTACGCTACCTTATAGTAGCAAATTTTCTTGTGTATAACTAGTTGTTTGTTGCTTGATTAGCAACTTGTGTTGTAAATATTTATTATACTATTGTAGTATATTTTCGAGCAGTATGGAGTGTTGTTCCGTAGTGTGACGGCCACGGCGGGACGTTACACTTTTATGGTATCAGAGCAGTTCGAGTCTAGTGGACACTCTGTGGGAGTGGTCCTTTTAGGCTTTTGTTGCGTTGAACTCTGTGTTGTGTTGGATGTTGTGCTGCTTTGTGTTGAGTAGTGGAGATACAATGTGTTGGATGAGTTGTTTATTTTATAGAAGATGCTTAGAACAGGAGTAGATAGCCCATGCCATGGAGATCATGGCTATGGCTATGCAATAGAAAAATGCCTACTTTGCAAGGATGGATGCTGAGAGAGCTGCGACTAGTGTCTCAAGACCAGTTGGGTCATAGGAAAGTCAGGTTTTGGCTGAGTTCAGGAAGTGTAGTCCTCCTTAGTTCAGAGGTGATGCAGATTCGGAGGTGGCTAACCACTAGAATTGCGAGTTGGAAGAGATATTCACAATTCTAGGTTGTTCAGAGGAGCGAAAACTCACCTATGCAGTGTATATGTTGACAGGGGAGGCACAGTATTGTTGGAGAGGTACTAGTCAGATGCTGATTGACTATGGAGTGGTTGTGGACTGGGTGTGCTTCAAGAGGGCCTTCCTCGAGAAGTACTTCCCAAAGAGTGTCAGGCATGCTCGGGAGGCAGAATTTATGAGATTACAGCAAGGGGAAATGTCGGTGACCAAGTATGTTGTGAGATTCGAGCACTTGGCACACTTCTACACCCAAGCCACATCTAAGGCTTGGAAGTGTAGGGAGTTTGCTGAAGGCTTGAAGTATGATTTGAGGAGAGTGGTGGTGTCTTTGGCCATCATGGAGTTTCCAGCCTTGGTAGAGAAGGCGAAGGTTATGGAGCGGCTACAGAGCGTCCTTAAGCCGACGAAGATTGTTGGTGGACCAGTTGGGTCCAAGAGTGGTGGTGGTCTTTAGAGGAAGCCTTATGATAGGCCCTAATCACAACAAGGGGGGTTCTATCACAAGGAAACTTATTGACACAACTAGGAGTGGAGGTTAGAGTGGAGTTGCTACTCTCAGATGTTACAGATGTGGTGGACCTCACTTCATTCGTGATTGCCCTCATACCGAGAACAAGTGTTTTAGGTGTGGCCAGATGGGTCACATGTCGACTAGTTGTCCTGTAGGTGCCAGACAGACCAGGAGTGCCCCGAGGGGTGATAGATCTTCTATAGCTGGAAGGGTGTTTGCCTTAACCGGAGTCGAAGTTTCCACTTCATCTGATCTAATGAAGGGGAAGGGTAGAGCTCCTGGTAAGGTTGTGATGATGTTATTTGACTCAGGGCCTCCCATTCATTTACTTATATACATGTGTTGAAAAGTTGGGTTTGCTTGTACGTAATTTGGGATTGAGATTTCTTGTGTCTGCGCACACTTCTATTTCTATTGTTGTCTCTAAGATGTGTTGGTTGTCCCTTGGAGATGTGTGATAGGAAGTATAAGATGAACTTGATCTGTTTGCCTTTAGTGGATATTGACATAATCTTAGGGATGAATTAGTTATCTGCCAATCACATTCTTATAGATTGTGCCAATATGGAGTTAGTTTTTCCCTTAAGGGGATGATGAATTGTTGATTTTAGCCAGCCAAGCTGAAGTGATGTTGAGAAATGGAGTAGAGTGTTGTATTCTATTTGTAGTTGTGAGTGTGGAAACTGAGAAGGTGATCAATAGGTAGGAGTTGTGAGGGAATTTTTTAAGGTGTTTTTGGATGAGGTGTCAAGGTTACCTCCTATTAGGGAGATTGAGTTTAGCATTGATCTGGTCCTTGGTGTAGGTCTAGTGTTGGTTGCTCCCTATAGGATAGCCCCAACAGAGTTGGTTGAATTGAAGTGTCAGGTGGAAGAGTTGAAGAGAAAGATTGACTACTTCTCCTATGTTGGTGTTGCCTGATCTTAGAGTGAACCATTTGAGGTGTGTTGTGTTGTTTCTCACCAAGGGTTGGGGTGTGTGTTGATGTAGAATAAGAGAGTAGTTGCATATGCTTTAAGGCAATTGAAGAATCATGATAGGAATTACCCTACTCATGACTTAGAGTTGGCAGCAGTTGTTTTGCCTTAAAGGTATGGATGCACTATTTTATAGTGCAGGGTTCAACGTCTTTGGTGATTGCAAGAGTTTGAAGTATTTGCTTGATCAGAAGGAGTTGAACACAAGACATAGACGGTGGATGAAATATTTTAAAAGACTATGAATTTCAGTTGATGTATTATCTTAGGAAGGCCAATGTAGTGGCAGATGCTTTGAGTAGGAAGTCCATCCACATGTCTAGTCGGATGGTAAAGGAGTTGGAGTTGGTTGAGAAATTCAGAGATTTGAATCTGTATGTAGAGTTGACTCAAGACCACATTAGTTGTGGCATGACTACCATTGCTAGTGAGTTCTTGTAGCAAGTTGGTATGAAGTAGTTGTAAGATTCGAAAGTTGTTAAGATTCTTAATTTGTTGGATACTGAGGAAGTAGTTGGCTTTGAGATGGGTGCAGGTGGGATTTAAGGTTTAAGGGCAGAATTTGCCTACCTCAAGATTCTAAGTATAGAGAGATATTATTGAATATATGGCGGCCTGTCTGACCTGTCAGAAGGCTAAGGTTGGGCACCAGAAGTCTGGTGGTTTAATTGTAGATGATGGAGATTCTGTAGTTGAAGTTGGATAGTATCACTATGGATTTCATTGATGGACTGCCTAAGTTGACTAGGAATAGTGATGCTATTTGAGTTGTGGTTGACAAATTGACCAAGTGTGCACATTTCTTGCCTGTCAATATCAAGTGATCCTTGGAGAAGTTGACACAGTTGTATGTGAAAGAAATAATACAGTTGCACGGGATGCCTTCTTGTATTATTTCAGATAGGGATCCAAGGTCCACTTCTAGATTTTTGGCAGATTCTACACCAAGTCTTAGGTACGAGGTTGAGATTGGGTTCTTCTTATCATCCAGCTCGGATGGTTAGTTAGAGAGGACGATTTAGTCCTTGGAAGATTTGTTGAGGGC